AATATGAGCATTTGGGAGGACAGTATATCTGAACCATAATAGGTTATATAGCCCAAACCCATTCTTTCTTTATCAAATACCTTTTGTAAAGATAGTACAATGTGTGCAATCGGATTTCAGATGTTTCTGATTACTGCTTGAATAATATATAATCAATATTCTTTTTTAATTTTATTATTATTATTAAAAATTTTCACCTCCCCTCCCCCCATTCCCTCTCCCCCTTCCCCCATTCCCTCTCTCCCTCCCTCTCCAGTCCAAAGAGCAGGGTTCCCTGCCCTGTGGGAAGTCCAAGGTTCTCCCCCCTCCATCCAGGTCTAGGAAGGTGAACATCCAAACAGACTAGGCTCCCACAAAGCCAGTACATGCAGTAGAATCGAAACCCAGTGCCATTGTCCTTGGCTTCTCATCAGCCCTCATTGTCCACCATGTTCAGAGAGTCCGGTTTTATCCCATGCTTTTTCAGTCCCAGTCCAGCTGGCCTTGGTGAGCTCCCATTAGATCAGCCCCACTGTCACAGTGGGTGGGCGCACCCCTCGCGGTCCTGACTTCCTTGCTCATGTTCTCTCTCCTGCTCCTCATTTGGACCTTGGAAGCTCAGTCCAGTGCTCCAATGTGGGTCTCTGTCTTTATCTCCATCCATCGCCAGATGAAGGTTCTATGGTGATATGCAAGATATTCATCAGTATGGCTATAGGATAAGGCCGGTTCAGGCGCCCTCCTCTCAATTGTTCAAGGAACAAGCTGGGGACATCTCCTTGGACACCTGGGAACCCCTCTAAAGTCCAGTCTCTTGCCAACCCTAAAATGGCTCCCTTAATTAAGATTTCTACTTCCCTGCTCCCATATCTACTCCTCCTCCATCCCAACTGTCCCATTCCCCCAATCTCTGCCCATCCTCCCCTTCTCACTTCTCTCTCCCCATCTTCCCGTATCCCCACCCCACCCCCACCCCCAAACTCTCAATTTTTGCCTGGCAATCTTGTCTACTTCCAATATCCAGGAGGATAACTACATGTTTTTTTTTTTTTTGGGTTCACCTTCCTATTTAGCTTCTCTATTCTTGTGAACTATCAGCTCAATGTCCTTTATTTATGGCTAGACTCCACTAATGAATGAGTACATACCATATTTATCTTTTTGGGTCTGGGTTACCTCACTCAAGATATTGCTTTCTATTTCCATCCATTTGCATGCAAAATTCAAGATGTCATTTTTTCTTTACCACTGAGTAGAACTCTAATGCGTATATATTCTACACTTTATCCATTCTTCCATTGAGGGGCATCTAGGTTGTTTCCAGGTTCTGGCTATTACAAATAATGCTGTAGGGTTGAATCTTTAGTTTTACTTCACACGTATGGGAAAGACTTCTCTTGGAGAATGAATGCCTTGAGAACCCTGAGAAATGAAATAAATAGATTAATTTATTTACCTATAATTAGTGATCCAATTAGTTAAATTTACAACTGTAAACATATATTCGGAACATATTATAGAAAGCTATGAATGTCAGATTAAGGAACAGGGTTTCTATTTGGTTAGTCTTGGAGATATATGGAAGCTTTAAGATCAGTATTCTAGAATTGTAAAGAAGTCTATTTTTTTTTCTAGGAGCTATGCAGAATTAGGGACATTCCCATTCTTTTATTGAAGTGCTCTTCTTTTCTCTTTGGGTTGTTGAGTGAACTGCCTCAGCAGCTCTGCAGCTGTGCTCCTTTTGCTTCCCCTGAAGGTAAACACACTGTGATCCTTGATGAGGCTGAACTGATACTGGTGGTACTGGTATCCAGTATTTAATCTGTCCATGGTCCATGAACTTTTCCTCATAGGTAAAAGTACACTACTTTTAAAGGCTTCTCATTTTGTTATTAGAAGTTTTGAGGTAGAAACTAAGAAACAGTTCTCACTTGCAGTACCCATTCATGAAATTCTCAAAATAAATATTTTATTCTTTTATTTATTCTTCTCTCATACAATTCATCCCGACTTCAACCTCTCCTTTTTTTCTCCTCCCAACCCCCACCTTCCTTCTCCCCCAGACCCACTGCTCTTCCATTTCTCTTCAGAAAAGAGCAGACCTCCCAGGGATGTGAACCAAACACAGCGTAAGAGGATTTAATAAGAATAGGCCATATAATCTCATATCAAGGCAGGACAAGGCAACCCAGTGTGAGGAATTGGGTTCCACAAATAGACAAAAGAGTCAGAGACACTCCTACTCCCATTGTCAGGAACCCAACAAAACCTACAAACCAAAGAACCACAGCAAGTATGCAGAGGGCCTGGTATAGACTCCACGGTTGCCTCTTCAGTCTTTGTGAAACCCTACATTTAAAAAACAGAAATAAGCCATTTATATCCAGCGGTAGTGACAGAACTGACACTTTACTTGATTCTAATCCTCTGAAAACGCTAACAATATGTTTTTGAGACTAATAAATTATTAAATTTGTTTGACCTACAGATGGTGTGTTGGCAGCCTAATCTTATTCTTTATAGAAAATGATCTTTATCTTACTTGATCTAACCAACAGTGATAGATATGAAGAATAATAATCATGACTATGGGATCCATCCCATCAATTTAATACACATATGTCTTTGTACAGTTTCTTCCTTTCATTGGTACTAATGTCTGAGATGTTTCCCAAGTAAAAGGAAAAGAATTAGGTGACTTCTAAGGTCCTTAATTAACATGATGTACCATGGCTTCTTTTCTAAAGTACCTTTGGATAAGCAAAAGCTACATCTTGTTCTACTAACATTCTACTACAAACCAGCATTTGCTTATCTATTCAAGAGAAAAATATATCAGTAATCAAGTATAAAAATCATAGAGAAATTAACTAAAAACATTTTGACTTGTATTTGGCATTGACATTTTACCAATTGTTGAAAAATTTACTAAGAATATTTTGAGGCTGTATTTTTTTTATTTTTTTTTATTTTTTATTTTTCGAGACAGGGTTTCTCCGTAGCTTTTGGTTCCTGTCCTGGAACTAGCTCTTGTAGTTCAGGCTGGCCTCGAACTCACAGAGATCCATCTGCCTCTGCCTCCCGAGTGCTGGGATTAAAGGCGTGCGCCACCACCGCCCGGCTGAGGCTGCATTTAACACTTAGATTTTTTTAAAAAAAATATTTAGTTTGCTGAGAACCTTGGGCAATGTATCTTGATTATACTCACTCCCTATTCCAGCTCTTCCCAGATCCATTCTTCATTTCTGTACACATCTAATCTTTTGTGCTCCTCCTTCCTTTTTTTATTTTTACAAACATTGAATCCAATCTATGCTGCTCACTTATTCTTGGATATGTGGTCTTCTACTTGAGCATCATCGACCTATCAGGGGGTCTCATTCTTAAAGAAAATTGACTCTCCCTCTCTTAACTGCCAATAGCTCCTTGTACAGGGGTAGAATTCCTTGCTAACTAACCTTCTGTCTACATGCTGGGATTTGGTCTGTCTTGAGCTTTCACAGGTATGCATCCTGTGAGTTCAGATAACAGCTTCCTGGTTATCCCCTACCTCTAACTCTTATAATCCCTCAGCCCCCTCTTCTACAATGATCTTGGAGCCTTAGGAGGAGAGGATGTTGTATAGTTGTCCCAATTAGGGATAGGCATTCTACAGTCTTTTATTCTCTGTACACTGCGTAGTTGTATGTCTCTCTATTAATAGCTATCTATGGAAAATAGAAGATTCTCTGCTGAAGGTTACAAGATGCATTAAGAAAACAAACCCAGTTAAAACTAAACAGAGAGTTCTCAAAATATGAAATACAAACAAATGAAATTTTAAAAAATTAGTATTCTTAGTTATCAGGAAAATGCAAGTTAAAACCACTTAGTGATTTCATCTTATCCCAGTCAGCATGGCCAATTTCAGAAAACTTAAATGAAAGCAGATACTTGCATGAATATGGGCAAAGAGGAACACTTATTCACTGTCTGTGGGTGTGAAGACTGGAGAAGCCACTGTGGAAATAATATGGAAATTGCTATGAAGGTTCCTCACAAAGAAGTAGATCACACATGACCCAGCTAAACTAATCTTGGATGTATATCCAAAGGACTCCATTTCATATTATAAAGATACATACTGCTCATCCATGTTTATTTCTTCTCTATTTACTATAGCCAAATATTAGGAAAAACATAATCTGAAGAATGAATAATGAACATGTGGTACATTTGCACAATAGAATATTATTTAGTGATTAAAAACAACCGTAACAACAAACAAACAAAACAAAAATCCTTGTCTGTCTAATAACACCAAGCTCCTCTTGTAGAGAGTAACAACATCTATCATAGTATCTGGGCATGATTTCTGTTTAGAAAGCACATGGTACTCAGAAGGGCTTTCAGAAGGCATCCAAATCAGAAGAAGTAGGATGGAGTAGAAAATCAAAGAGTTTTTGATTGTTGTCCTATCTCTGTCTCTGTTAGTGATGGGTGTGAGTATATTTGGTTTCTTCTCTCAGCTTGTTTCTGCATGTATAAAATAACAGAGAAGAGATACTCTGCATTCTCTAAACTACTACTGGCTTTGATTGCTGTCTCCATAAGGGAGGGCCTGAGAGTAGTTCAAGGTTTTATCTGACTCTGTTCTTCTGTGATCTTGCGCCTCTCTGGACTAGGTTGGAGGTTAAGTTCTCAATAATAACATTTTCTTTCTTTAGTTGAAGCAATCAGATGCGTTCCAGGTATTGTTCTCAGTAACACTGTGTCCAGGATTTCAGTTTGTTTGTCTGCTGCTGAGATAAGGCTGGAACATGTATCTGGCAAAATTCATGCAAATGTAGAAGGAAGGGAGCAAGTACTGAGTTCTGTTCTCTTCCCACGCAAGCAGTTTTTGTAACAAATAGAAATTGCTTGCTCTATGGGTCAAGATGTACAGCTATTAAATTTGCCTTATCTTCTTAGAAAATCTTCTAGAATTCATATGGTTAGTCATGTAATTGTTGCCTATTAAGAACTCTTATTTTTCATCGCAGACTCTCTCCCAAGCATGCTCCAGATATTCCTGACGACAGCACTGATAACATCACTATTTTCACCAGAATCTTGGATCGACTTCTGGATGGCTATGATAACCGGCTGCGACCTGGGCTTGGAGGTCAGTTATTCTTTTAAAAGCCCTCTGCTAAGATATTGCCCCTTAAAAGAGTAATGAGGTGCCTTCTGTTGACCAAGGGACTTAGTGTGCAGTTTCTTCCCTCTGAGCATTAGAATTTCATTCTAATCCTTCACTTCAGCAAGTGACCTCACATCCAATTTTGTAGGATTTCATTAAATGAGACAAATACATTATACTATGGGCTATGTTGAATGGCAAATATGCAGGTGTACGTGTTTAATTCTTCCCAAACAATTTGATAGTCATTTATATTATGCTCTTTTATTGTTAAATACTTCATTATATAATTCCATAGAGCAAAGGAATTATTTTAAAAACAATACACATATAACTTAACCTAATACTCATTTCTAATTAGTGTTCCATATTCAAATTTCCTAATTATAACTAAATGTTCCTTATGGCAATCTCCCTTGATTTTGATCCATTCCAGGCTTGAAAATCATCGTGACCTTTTAACCTATAATCTGATAGTTACTTCTTTATGGTGCTGTTAAGGTGTTCTTTATTCATTTTTTGGAAATAAAAGCACAAGAGCTAATTGAATCTTTCTTGGGGAATTATTCAAGAAGGAGACACCGTGTGTGTGTGTGTGTGTGTGTGTGTGTGTGTGTGTGTGTTTCAATTTTTTTTATGAGTCAGGTCAATTTTATTTATCTATTACATCAACTTGCAGTCGGAAGGAAATGTAGTCATATGTCATAAATGGAGCTAGAGCGAGCACAAGGTCCCAGTCGTGAAGGCCAGTTGGTCACCTTTCCTCCCATCCACACAACAGCTTGGAAATCTACTTTAGCTCCATACTTCTTCTAAACTCTTTCCCCTGTAGGACTGTCTTTTCTCCCCATGTGAACAAAAGAGACATAAATTCACATCATAGAACATCCAGCAGCTTCATGAGGCGAGTGATGTGAATTTACTCTGGGAGACTTATTCCAAACCTATGAACACCTCATTTTTGATAAAGGAGCTAAAAGTATACAATGGAAGAAAGAAAGCATCTTCAACAAATGGTGCTGGCACAACTGGATGTCAACCTGTAGAAGAATGAAAATAGACCCATATCTACCACTGTGTTTTCAATTTTTAAATGTTAATGTCTACCAGGTTATGCACCCTAGAATCACCATGTTTCATCTTATACTTAATAGGTAACATATGGAGAAGTGTTAATATTGAGACTATTCCGCTCTTCTTCCAACTTGCATCCAATAGTTTTAACAACTATTAATTACTTTGCATAAATAGTGACAGTGATGGCTATAAATCCATTATTCCTATATATTTTAAGAGGGCATTATTCAAAGGCATCATGTGTATTCCCTTTAGTTAATTAGCTAATAACCTGTATAAATTTTCTTATCTTACTTGATACATTCGAAAACAATACTATTCATTTTGGTGACGAATTTTTCTCCCAATTTGCCATATTTGCTGACTCTAATCATTTCAGTTTGGCTTCTGTGTTATTTTGATATGTTTATTCCATGTTTTGAACAATTGCTTAGTAGAAGTCACGAATGATTCATTTCAGACTTATCTTGTGTTTTGCCTCAATCAGCCTACCAATCAATTACTTTTCTGAAATAGATATTTTGTAAGGAGTTATATTTAGAATCTAAATTCTGAGTGCTAGGTTTTTCTTGCTATAGCAGCATCATTGCTTCTGTTTCTGTGAACAGAACTTAGAAAATGGTAGCCATACATGTGTGCATCCACACACATGTGCATCAACACTATTTAGTTATAAATACTTGTATACACATAAGTACATAGGTATATATATATATATATATATATATATATATATATCAATGTAGATTTTTACGTGTAGTACATTTATATTGATAATACTAATCCCAGCTTAGAATAGTAGTTTTCATTGTTATATTTACTCAAACTTTCATTGAACCTTCAAACAATTTTTGGATTTGTTATACCTCTTCCATTGAAATATACATTTATTATATAAATTAAAAAATATATTTGCAGGGTTTTTGTTGTTTTTAAAATAAGTCTTTATGATAGTTATGTGATACAAATAATGCATTGGTATAGGACAGTACTAGAAGAAGAGACCTATCATACATTAATTGTATTTATTCTGGATGAGTGATTATGGGAAAGAACAAAGTTCCTGACAAACTAGTTTATAGAGTTAGAGAAGTAGGGCATTGGGGGAAGAACAGAATACCTTTTAGTTATGGTTTATGTACTGATATTTCATTTGTATTTTAATAAATAAAGCTTTCCTGAAGATCAGAGAACAAAACATCCACACTGTTCATCCTTACAGACCAGGCAGTGGTAGCACACACATTTAATCCCAGTAGCCACACTAGTCTACCATAGAAACTAGGTGGTAGTGGTACACACCTTTAATCCCAGCACTAGAGAGGAAGATAAGATGGGAGAAGATGGCTCTCAGATACAGTCTCATTCAGAGATTCCTGGAGGCAGAATTGCTCTTTCAGTCTGAGGATTTCTTAGAGGTAAGAGCTACCTAGTGGCTTTGCTGTTTTGCTTTTCTGATCTTCAGGTCAAACCTTAATATCTCTGAGCTTTTATTAGTTATGCTATAGGTTTATGTAATTCAGGAACAAACACCGGAGGGGAACTACTACTTTTGTTCTTTTGGACTTGTTGAAAAGAGAAGGTAGTATGAAAAGGAGGAAGAAGCTGCGTGGTGTAAGGAGATAACTTAAATCACAGAATTGTCCCCTGACCTTGAAACACATACTGTATAATGTGTGCTTCCACTCACAAAATATATAACTTCATGTTGAAAGTAAATGTCAAAATTATGAGATGAGACATTTACTCTGGCTAAATTGAAAATATAGGGACCAGATTTATTTTCTCATCTTACACAGTGATTGGGAAGTGAACAAACACATGGAGTAATGTTCTTCAGAAACTGAAAAAAGGTAGCATGTGACAGCGATCATTAAAACGCAGAAAACAAAGTGAACTTCCCAACTGTAGCTGCTGACTGCCCAGCAACCCTAATAATGACATGACAAAGTGGAAAGACAGGAGAAACTGAGGATACTAGCGTTGAGAGTAACTTATGTTTCTGCTAACCACAGCAGAAAAGGTTTTTACTACATGAAGTATGAGGTAGGATTTTTCTGAAGGATAGAATCTCAGTGAGACTCAAGGATATTCTAAGACTAAAAGCTGATCTAATCATACATGCCAAAGCTTAAAGTTAAGCTTCAAAAGAATAAAAAAGGTCAAACTGTTTCCACATTACTTAACATTGATACCATAACAAATGTCAAGAGTATCTGTGTTTATAACAAAAAAATGTAATAGCCAACAAAGAAGACTTAACAATGGCTAATGTGCAGTCAAAAATTGTTGAGTAAAGAAAAAAGTTAGTGCACATCATGTAAATATTTATGTAAATGTAACTGGTGAAAAATAGCAGATGAAGAGTACTGAAACACTTCTTATATTTGCATTGAATACATTCAAATTAAACATCTAGATATAGAAATACAACACATATAACAAAAAATGCTAACAGAAGATCAGACATGAAGAGTAGAATAATAATATTTGAGACAGAAATAGTAACTACCAAATATGAAACATGGTGGGGGTTAAGATACCCCTAAACAAACAAAATAGAGCATCAGTTTACTGTGGAATTGCTTTAGATATTCCAATAGAAGTATAATAGGATTCTCTGAAGGAGACATAAATTGAATTTAAAGAAAAACTGGTTTAAATATTTTGAATTAGTTGAAATTATAGTCTAACATAGTGAGAAAAAATCTTATCAAATTCTAAAGACAAGGAAATTCAAAGAAAATTTCACTGAGAAATGCAAACAAATTGCTTAGAGCCAGTGACAGAGAAAACCTTAAAAAGAAATCTTTTGTCACAAACCCAAAGCCAAAGTTTGACCAAATGATCATTGAGTGAAACCTCCAAATCTGTGTGACAAGCTTAATATTGGTTAATTGCACGTGTTTGTTAAAGTAACATGTAGTTGTAGGAGCAGCGGGCTGCGTCCCCGGCACCCGGCCGCCCCCACGGCTAGCTTTACCCGAAATAATTACACGGAAACTGTATTCTTTTAAACACCACTTGGCCCATTTCTATCTAGCCTCTTCTAGGCTAGCTCTCACACCTGGACTAGCCATTTCATAATGCTAAAGGGGTTCATTCAGCAAGAAATATGATAAAGTAAAAGACTCATGAGCCAATATCCGAGCTTGGGGATAAGCGAAGAAAAACTAAAAGAGAAAGGAGAAAGAACTACAATTCAAATTTCAACACTGTTTTCTCCAACAAAACACAGAAAATAAATATAAGCCCCAGAAAATGTTCACATATTAACAACCCATTTGACTTAAATGCCCTTGTAATCAGCAACAACAGAATGATAGCCGTTGCAAGTTTCCTGGTAATATTTACCAAGACAGATAATATTCTGGTTTATAAAATGAAAAGAATGTTGATCTGATGATTTTATTTTGTGCTTATAATTCCAGCACTCAGGAAGCTGATACAAGAGAATAGTGAGCTCAAGACCACCTTGGGGTACAATGTAACTTTGGAACTAATTTAAGATACATAGAAAGCTTGAAACCAGCCTAGGATACATCCTAAAATAAAAACATAAAACACACATATTCCTCTCTCTCTTTCTCTCTCTCTGTATACCAGATGACAATCCTCAGGAACATCACACATCTTTTGCTGGCATGGAGCTCACTAATTAGACTAGAATGACTGATCAGCAAGACCCAGGGAACTGTCTCTGTCTTCCCAGCATAGAAATTACAAGCTCACCCCAACTGTGCAACAATTTTTTACCTGGATCGTGGGGCTTGAATTCAGGCCCTCATGCTTGGGAGGCAAGTGTTGGCAAGTGTTTTCTTGACAAATCTCCCCCTAGTTCCAAGACTGAAGCACAAGTAATAAAAACTCAGGGTCAGAAATTGGAGGTCAACTTGAATATCTGA